CCCCTACCCCAAAATGGTCTCGCACCTATTTTGATAGCTCCGCCCCACACATACGTACGCATATGCAATCCAGGCAACGTTTAGTTCTGTGAAACAAAGCCAAACCAATGTTACACCGTGACTACACCGGACGCGAGTGGCGCGGCGCGACAAAATACTATAGAACTCATTATAATCAGTGATGCTGTCTACACCATAGATATATATACATATCTATGGTCAACACTGGATGCGGTGCGGCGCGACACGACAAATCCCCGACAGAAAACTCAGCGAGGAAACGGAGGACAGGGAATGATGGGAAGGAAAAGCACTGGTGGTTGCAGAAGCGTCTGCTGTAACCATTGACTGATATTTGATTCGAACAGAGCTGTTAGACTGTTCTTCTACCGCACCACAAACCCCAATAACAACAGACACCGTTAAAGACTCCTTCACTTCAGAGAAACAACATCCAAACGGCTGTCGCTTTAATAAAAGCCCCGTCACATCAAATAAGCCAATATGACACTCTGGTTTCACAGTTTCTGACGAGAACATAAGCGCTGCTTGCCTGAGCAAATCACGACGAGGGTGTTCCGAGCGGTTGCTAGGGTGTTTAGGATGGTTGCTAGGGTGTTCTGGGTGGTTGTATCATAGATCTGCATCTTTAATCAAAATTGAAACTGAAATCGTGATATGGAAAAATTTAAATGAAGAAATTAAGATTAGTATTGTAATTGTAATGTATTGATATTGTACTGTAAAAATCATTACTATTATGAACAATAGTTTTTATTTTTAAATTTGAAACAGTTAAATATTAATATTAATATTAATATTAGTATTTCTTATTTTATTTAAATTTCTTCTTTAGTAATATCATGTTTATTAAAATAATACAATACTACTACTACTACTACGAATAATAATAATAATAATTTCATCATTTGTTTGTGAAGACTGCTCGCGCATGCGGCTGTGCGCGACTCCGTGTAAAAGTGGTTTAATGCACTTGCGTCTCAAAATGGTTTTATGACGCAAAATTAATGTAAACACAGCCAGTTATGTCTTAAGGGATTAAACGGACAGGACAAACCATATTACTTGCGTGTGTGAATGCAGCTTAGATCTCCCGCTGTCTATGATTATTAGTAAAAAACAACAGTAAAGATGAAGAAAAATCACTCACAGTTCTTGAATTGAAAACGTTCAGATAATCGTAAATACTGAAAGCACTCTTTGTTTGTTGTTTGTAATATGTTTCTATGCTCCTCTTTATTATTTGCTACTTGCTTGTATGTTTTGAAGTTATATTATTTTAAAATTCTTAACATACAAATGTTTTAATTATTTTTTTCAATTTGTAATTATTTTAAAAAGTACTTAATTACTTATGTAAGGATATGTAAATATAAGGATTTGAAGATTCTCAAGTTGGTAAACTAATTAATTAATAAGGGGGAAAAAGTAGATCAAGAATCGTTCTGGAATCGGATCGTGACTCCCAGAATCGGAATCGGATCGGATTGTGAGGTGACTAAAGATTCCCACCCCTATTAAACAAGCAAAGCAAAACCTGGACATTTAAAAAAAAATCACTTATTATTATTAAAGGTGGGGTAAGTGATTTCTGGTAGCCAATGTTGATATTTCAAATCACCAAAACAAACACACCCCTACCCCAAAAGGGTCTCGCACCTATTTTGATAGCTCCGCCCCACACATACGTACGCATATGCAATCCAGGCAACGTTTAGTTCTGTGAAACAAAGCCAAACCAATGTTACACCGTGACTACACCGGACGCGAGTGGCGCGGCGCGACAAAATACTATAGAACTCATTATAATCAGTGATGCTGTCTACACCATAGATATATATACTGTATATATCTATCGTCTACACTGGATGCGGTGCAGCACGACACGACAAATCCCCGACAGAAAACTGCTGCTGCGTTCTATTCATGACGTATTGACACAAATTTCAAATAATTTTCAACGGTCGCTTTGTCGCGTCCAGTGTACTAGACAGCTCGGCTAATGTCCGTCCTGTGCACTGAGTACTCTCTCCTCCACATCATGAGTAGACACGCCCCTTACTGCTGATTGGCTACAAGTTTGTTTTGCTATTCAGCCCGAATCAGTTTTCTAAAGCGTTTTTGAAAAATCGCTTACCCCACCTTTAAACAAGCAAAGCAAAACCTGGACATTAAAAAAACCTATTATTATTATTAAACAAGCAAAGCAAAACCTGGACATTTAAAAATAAAATAACGTATTATTATTATTAAATAAGCAAAGCAAAACCTGGACATTTAAAAAAAAAAAATCACAATCTTAATCAGAAAATTCACAATAAGATTTTACACATCTCCACATAAATTGAGATATTGTGGTCAGGAATGAGTTACAATGCAAAGCTAAATGTTTCGAGTTAGGGCTTCCAAAAAAAATCTAACCAAGCCAAAAGCAACAAACAGTGACACCAGTAACAAAAAATGACTTCTGGTAAAAACTCAACTGAACACTTGTACGAGTACAGTGCCTTTCCTTTTTGTTTAAAATACCATCAAACTGTCATTTCAGGCTGAACGTAGCCAAAAAAGGCCAAGAAACAGCAACAAGAAAAGCATCCGCAAGCTTTTTTTGGCAGGAATGCTATAAATACACTTTCAGCAATCCAGACCATAATGGACTGCGTTTAGCCTGCACTTGACCAACAGGACAAACTCCTCCTACCCGTGACTTCAAACTTTATATATTTGTATATAAGCTTAACGTCAGCAGAGAACGAAAGATGCTCGATGATAGGTGTTAGAAGGGGGTCGAAATTGTTCAGAGGCCAGAAAATGCCAAGAGCCGAGGCTAAAGCTCTTCTTCTGCGGCTCACACAGCTCTCATGGAGTGGAAATTTAACTCATGTGTTTGGACAGACGTTTGCTCAGTGGATGGAGCTCTCACCTGAACAAAGGCAGAAGGAAGCACTTTCATCTGGAACACAAAGACCGTATGTGGTCCATAATGAAGGCCAGGAAACACAAAGCCCAAACGGTCATTATTTTTAATTATTGTAATCTTTGCTGCTGTTACGGTTCTTTCTCCAGAGGAACAGCAGACTCAAGCCAAGTTCTGTGGGATTTGACATCAGCAAAGCATTCGGATTTTGGTTGAAGGATGTGGGATTTAGTCAAATGTCAACTTACACATAAGATTCTCACAAAAGAGTGAAAGGCGAAGGACTCTTTCCACACCAGACAGTAAACGATCACCCAAAACACCCTGGCAAGCATCCTGAAAACCACAGCAGTGAGTTTTGCATGAAAAAACATCACTTAAATTTACTTCAGAACATGAAAATATCTAGTTAAAGCATGCAGAATCCCACAAGTTCAAATTCAGATTGTGAGGTCACCGCCTGTCCATCATTTTCCATCTCCTGTGCACCTATGTGACCGAGTCCTTCTTGACAATATGACTGAAAAAGCAAACTTGACGCCTCTTTAAGCACGAATATACACTAAATTCCACATATCAGCTCCACTGTCTTTGAAGCTGGATATTTATAATATAGCGAGACGCTGCGTCCAGCCCCATACGACCGCGAGCATTTCACACATGCA